GGGAGGACAGTTGCTGTCTACAGATGCATGCTGATACAGTCTGTGGGAAGAAGAAAACAATATATTGATTGTAATATTTCTATTATTAATATATACACATAGAAAACTCTTTCACCCCTTTTCTACTATTGTTAAGTGATTACTTATTTATCAATATCCTACAAGATCAGCTTGATGGTTACCTGGGGTAAAATCATCATTCTACTAAAGCTAACAGCAGAACACTCATTAACTTTGTTTTCCTGCCCAATGTGTTACATTAAAAGCAATCTCTGGCCAGGCATCATCTTTTTTGGAAACCGCCAGTTTTAAAACTGACACATCAATAATTACCTGCAATATTGATACTGGGGGGCACTGAGGAGGCTCTCTGCTCCGCTTCAGCACCATGGCTCAGGCAGGGCACTGGGGAACTGCGTGTGCGGGTGATTTGGTATTGGGCTGTTAAAACACTAATTGGTTTACCAATGATTGTTCTCACAAAGGATAGCTAGTTTATCTTACTATCACTTAAGAGCTACCTCACTGATCGTCCTTTTTTTTTTTTTTTTTTTTTTGAGGGAGGGGGAACCGCCTCTATCACTAAAAAACCAAGCACCCGTTATTTCATAAGCTGGGTGAGCGAGTGACATGATGGCGATACACCGCTCCTGTGGTCTGCTGGGGGAACTCGCTGGCTCTCATGACCACCATCTTCTGCGTCATCCAGAGCTACGCAGATCCTCCTGGGCGTTTCACCCAAATGCCTGGTGCCTACCAAGGGGTCCTCATTTTCTCAGTCTCTGCACCGAAAGCCTCAGGCTGGGAACGGAGCACTTCTTGTGCTGTTCTCAGCAGTGAAATTTGCTCCTGCCATAGCTGTTTAAGTCTATGTACAGCAAATGGTCTCAGAAACAACCTGCTTATGCAACACCAGTGTGTGCTATTGGTGTCTTGAGAGCTACTGGGGAGGCTGCAACCGCTTCCTATTGCCAGCGCTCCTCCTGCAGTTAATCGTGCAGTGCTCCAGGCAAAAACCAGCGAGCATTGCAGCCAGCTCCTGAGCATCAGCCTGCACGAGGACCTAGCTGTCTCCTCCAACACACGCTGTTGGGGGAAGACAGCGGGAGCCACAGACCAAGCTCAACCACCCAAAAGCAAGGCGGTCCAGGGCTGCCTAAAGGCTTTGTGTCCTGAGACAACGTGATACACCCTTACATCTGCTACAGTCAGCAAACAGTAACAACATCCACCACCTGTATACCATTTTTATTTGTAATTCTTTGAAATTATAGCCTGAAACCAAAGGCAAGAAGATTTTTAGGTGGGAAAACAAAGGTAGCGGTGAAACGACTTGTCAAGGTCACAAAGCAAAATCGATGCCAGAGGAGGGAAACTGCGACAACGCAACGTCGACTATCGCTACTGCTACTCAGTCTAATAGCTGTCAGTAAGAATTCAAATGAGTAAGGGAAAAAAAAGGAGAAAAAAAAAAGACCCAAATACTTATGTTTGCCTGTCAGAGAGGAACAGAGTGTTTCTGCTCTGTGTGGAATACCAGCAAAGGTTACCAGCTGTGCATATTTTCAGACAGCAATTTCTGCTGAGTGCAGCCTGCTTGGGGATAACAGAAATGTAGCTTGTAAGTATTTGATAACTGTGTAAATTATGCACAAAATACCTTTAATGCTAATGGAGACAGACGTATGCAGAGATGAGACTGTAACGGGGGTATAGTGAGCTAATGCACAGCTGTCAGCCACACCGCGCTCGAGGACCACGTGCCTGGAGACCAGTGAAACCCAGAAGATCTTTTGAGGAAGCCTCAACAGCCAAAATACATGGACTCATTAACAACACGAGATGAACTATGAGAGGTGACTGTTTTACCTAGCTAAAGCTTTATGAAGGTGAAGACCATGTATCCAAGGAATATACAAAGAACTAATGTTTTCTGAAGTGATTCCACAAGAGCTGGCAAAAATACCACACTCAAAATGCTTGTAAAAAAAAGAAAGATGAGAGGGATGTTCATGAAAACCGCCCCTCCCCAATCTATGCATTAAATCAACCACAGGACAAAATCACCTATTTTTAAATGACATAGGGCTTTGGAAATAAAATTCATCCTATAAAACTATGTAATACTTTAAATTATATTTCTATTAGCCAGAAAAATGCAGAGCTCAGCATAAGTTATAAAAATTCCCAAAACCACAACATCAGATATATTTGTATATTTAAGTGACAAGTATTCAGAAAAGAGGGAACTCCTCTAGGATGGAGGGGAAGATGGGCACTGGGGAAACTCTTTGGTCACTTCCTCACCACTGGAGGAACACGTTCTGTGACAGAGCTGGTGATGACAAAATGCAACAAGTATGCAACTCTATATGAAATACCTAACAGTGCCAAAACTAGATTCTAATCCTATAGTTCTGCATGCTTAGAATTTGATGCAAGGTGTAATTACATACTGAAATACTACCAGAAAGCAAATTTCTCTTGCCTTACTCAAAAATCACCCTCCTTTTAACTCTCATGGCAGGAAACTTCCTGCAGATCAGTGTGCTGGAGATAAGCCATCAGAAATTGTTCCTTTGCTTTTCTCTCCAACTAGAGACAGAGAAGGATGACAGTGTAAAAGGTATGATACTCTAAATGGTGTATCATTCAACTCTAAACAGTGTCCCTCAGGAGCAGCAGGACCATATAGATGCTCACATGGCTGAACACCTATATGATGGCCAGCAAGGAAATTGTAGGCAGATGCCTCCGTTCCAGCAACTGTACCCATGCAAAGAAGCAAATGCCACCCATGCTCTGTGCTTACCAGGGACTTCAGGTCACCAGCTCTGCTAACACAGATTACACATTCATCACCTCCATCACTGCACAGCAGAGGACATCACGAAGTAGAAACTGCTGCAGCATAAGAAACCCAGAAATCAGTTGTCCCCATTCACGCCAGTTCCGTGGCAGTAAAGACAGCTCCTAAGGCAAGACTTCACTTATGCATCACCAGACTGACACTTTCACATCTCCCAACTCACTGATGAAGATCCCAGCATTGGACACCAAGTGCAGATGTCTAGGCTGCAGACAGTTTCAGGGTAAAAACATCTCTTTTCCTCAGCTAAACACACACCACAGCGCAAAACACTGTAAGACACTGTACGGGGGCCAGCTTTGACAAGAGACTTTCCTTGGCTGTCACCATCCTTTCCATGCTGTGTGGACCTTGAATGTACTCTCCTCTGGCCTACATCTGCATTCCCTTGAGGAGGAAGCTAATGAGATTACCCTAAACGGGACAGGAAGAGCCAGCCACCACAGCTGAGGAGCAGCCCCAGAAGGAGCAAGCCAAACTGACTGCAGAGTCACCTTGGTGGCAGTTGAACACCCATTCCTGAGGCAACAGCATGGATTTCTGCCCTGTACGTGCGAGGCAAAATTTTCAGCAAATGGCTGTTGTCAAGGCACTTCAGAGGATCTATCCAGTATACGATGAAAATCCTCTTCCATGAGACCTGTCCTTAGGGACTGTTCACAAGTACAAGGCCCTTAGTAGCAACAGTATGGAAAAGGATCATACAGAAAAGTTTCTTTGAAGGCTCACCAAGAGATGATCACATTGTGCGCTACATCGCATTGAACAGCGGCCAACGACTCTTCCTGGACAGAACATATGCCTCCTTTTTGGTTTTTACAGGCCTTTTATTGACTTGACTTCAGTGATAAAGCAGATGGCCACAGGGGAAGGAGGCTACAGTAGCCCCAGCGCAGAGCAGACAGCATATTTATCAGCTGCAGTTAATGCAGCAGGTGTACCTGTCTCTTCCACATTTCTTCTCGGGGTTTGTCTAGCTGAGCAGAAGTTTAAAATCACAATTTTTCACACACAAGCTCCAAGTTTTGCCAGATCAACAATGACCCAACTTCTCTTACTGTCTCTTAATTTCCCGTGCATTTTGCACAGGCTTTACTATGGAGAACAGTTTTGCTTTCCACACGTCTGCCTGTTTTCCTAGAATGTATTAAACGAATTGATTCTCATTCATTACGTTGCTATTTAGCTTACATTTGGTAACAGTATTTGGTATCACTGTAACATAATTCATCCTTCTGAATTTTGCACTTGCATAAGATTTTATTTTAATTCATAAAATCCCTTTTCCATTGCAGGTGACTGATGCACATCAACAGCTGGATCGGCAAGAAGCCGAGCCAGGAGGCTTGGCCAAGAGTCGTGTGCCACTAGGAAGGTTACGCTTTGTCCTCCCTTCTGCCAATACCACCCTGACTCCACATTCCTCCTCCTCCCCTCTCACTGCCCATAGTAGGGAATTAAGTTGTCAGCATAGCAAGTAAAGCAAGATTTTTGCCTTTTTTTTCTTCCCTCACTTCCGAAAAGGTCAGTGGGGAGTTCTGCCCTACCTGCAGTGCTGTTTGAAATTCAGCAATCATTCTAAGATATTCACAACTGTGGCATCTAGCAAACTTTTAAGCTAAATCCACCATCCCCCTTGCACTTTTCTGCCACAGTGAACTGCTGTTGCTCTTCCTTTACAGGTGGGGGACAACACTCCGAACACAGGAGAGGCACGCCGACACGAGGACACGCTCTGCACGGAGGCGGGTGCTGGGGAATTTGCTGCTCCAAGACTGGCGGTCTGCAGCGTAGATGTCCCCAAAGTTCCCAGGGTCACAGAGGCAGTCTCTTCTAAGTTCATTTTGTGTTTTCTTGCCAATGCCAAAAGTTTCCCCTCTTAAATCTTAGGCTGACTCCTAAAACAGGAACCCCTGGACTGCGAGGGCAGCCTGGGCAGCATGACAGGAGAGACAAGTTGTTCCTCTCCCTGCAACAAAAACAATTCCAGAGAAATTTTGTGTGCAAAACCTTTCAACAGCGTATTACATCTTTTTCCCAAGGGACAGAGTTGACGGAG